ATTAATGTTTTATTTTATTTCAGTTCAAGTGGAGACCCTATACATCACCGGAGCTCGATATGCATTCTCTTGCACCCATCTGCCGAGATACTCTCAACTTGTGGAGAGCCAGAGTTCCATTGATTTGTTGGGAGATCGTGGAGATGCATGTCCCTGACCGTGTGCTACGGTAGTTTACGCTCTCTCAGCATGTGCCAGATCCTATCAAGCAGATCGATCGTCGGCGGCGGCCTACTTCGCACCGTACCGACTGGGCCATAGTCTGTGCGGCCTACATAGACAGGTGGGCTTACAGGTGGGATTTCATCCAGAATACGAGGCCCACAGCTATTGACTATACCGCGTATATACGTTGGTATTAGGATATCACACGTAGATGGATCACGCGTGACCCACAGCCATCTGCTGGACACATGCCACGACCACTGACAGACAGTTACATCCCTAGTGGGATGAACGAGAGAGATTACGTAAGTTTCTAAGTTAAATTATAACATTTTTTATTGAGTTGGTACTTAATAAATTGTTTACCTCACAGGTCCGTGCTTTTGATAGCATTGAGGCTGATATTGATGCCACCGTGCCTGAGATTCAGGATTCAGTGGCGTTAGGACTCCTCAGCAGGATTAAGAAGGCCATAGCGCAGATGTTTCATAAGACTCATGTCGACGAGTTTGCAGGCCGTGAGGACAGGTCTCGATCATTTGGGCAGGCGTACACTCGGCGCCGACGGCCACGTGACGATGACGCCAGCACTTCGCATGCCGATGGAGCCGGCACTTCGTATGCCGATGGAGCCGACACTTCGCATGCCGATGGAGTCGGCACTTCGCATGCTGATGGAGTCGGCACTTCGTATGCTGATGGAGCCGGCACTTCTCAGCCTCATACACAGCCGGATACTCAGATAGTTGAGGCTCATCAGCAGGATCGCGGGGGGCGGGGAAGAGCGAGGGGGAGAGGGAAGAGAGGGAGAGGAAGGAGAGGAGCTATATTGGGTTGTATTTGAACTTATTTTGTTAAAATTTGTAACTTGTATGAATTTTCAAATACTATACTTTTGTGGATCAATTATAGCTCGATATGTGATCTTTTTGAGTATTATTTGATTCGTGCGTGTTTAAATTATATATATATATATATATATATATATATATATTATAGTAATTGTTGTTAATAGGTAAATAGTTGTATATATGAGTTAAATAGGTAGATGTATACAAAACATGCACAGCACAACAGCATGTACATGTTTTGTAAAACCTACAGCTTCACGGGAATTCAACTCCCGTGAAGTTGCAGTCTAAATTTTCTAGAGAGCGATTCTCTGGGAAATTTGGCCTGTAACTCCACGTGAATTGAACTCCCGTGAAGTCTGTTGTTTGCGTAAATCTTCACGGGAGTTCAACTCACGTGAAGATTTTTGAAGAAATTAAGCTTCACGGGAGTTGAACTCCCGTGAAGTTTAAAAATATGCTAAACTTCACAGGAGTTCAACTCCCGTGAAGTTTCGTAAATTTTTTTCCAAAAATCGACCTGGTTTCAGCGACAGGGCTGAAACCAGGTCGGTTTTTCTAATTAAGTTGGAAACCGATCGTTTTTTGCAATTAAAAGTCAAAATAGGACTGTTTTGAAAATTTGTCCCCCTTCCCCCTTATCGGATTCGGATCCGTATAAAATCCAGCCCGAGACCAGCAGTAACCATTCGCATGCGTCGCCCTGATATTCGCTATACGATCAGTCACGTCCGCTGCTGAAACATGAAATGGCGATAAAGCCCTCAATACTTCTCGCAATCAACGGTTCGCTCGCTCGCGCCACAGTTACGAAAATGCCCTCGCGCGTGCATCGCTCGTTGCCGACATTTTTTCTCCCTTCATTAGGGAGCCGATCAGCTGTTTGGCTTTAACACGAAACGCATTCATTGTCCAGTGAAATACGTGGGGGCTATGTTATAAAGGTTTTTATTTGTTTGTAATGGCGTTCTTGGTTCTATATCATGCAGCTGATCCTTGCTTGTAGTCGGGGCAAACGTAGTAATTAAAAACCTCTCGTACAGAGAGCTAGTCGTCTATATTTAGCACGTTGGTTATTTGTGTTTATGCCTTTGATAATTAGCTATTTGCATATTGGTACTTCAGTTATTTTGCATATATCTATTGAGTATATTTTCTCAATTATATTGTCTAAAACCTTTACATGTCACCAATATTGCAGTTATTTTCGGATTTCTCTAGAGAAAAATCATAATGTTCACGTTCTAATTTTATTGGTAAGGTTTTTTTACTCCTTTAATATACATGTTGTGAGAGAATTGTGATATAAATGTTACGAGTAAAGCTACATTGAAAACTATCGATAATATCTAAAAATGTTTGAGATTGTGTGATAATGCCTTTTATGGTAAGAGGCAGTGAACAGACATGGAAAAATTATAATGTGTTGCTATCTTAAAATATTTCTTTCAAAAATACCCCTCAACACATCCATACAAACATACATTACCATGCATACATACTAAACATTAATATAATATTTTCTCTCTCCAATACATCCATACATCTATACACGAACATCATTACATACTCAATATGAATGTGATATATAATAATAGAGATGAAGGATAATAACTAACATAAAGTCAATGAGCGAGATCGAGAAAATCTCGCCATCGCATCAAGATGGAGACTTCCATATCACAACAACATCGAGATGGTCGAGCAGTGCAAAACTTTAGTACCGAATAATTCAAAACAACAGAAATCTTCATCTATTGGATTGTGATGGATAATTTTGAAGGGGAAAAAGTAATATTCTATTATAAAATTTTGATGGATATTAGGAGAAATCAAAGAATTTAGAGGGAAAAAAGGGAAAGGGATTAGAAGTTTTCTGTGTTTTAGTTCATAGTTGCTAGTACAGCTATGTCAATGCATTGGGTACTTTGTTTCTCACAAATTCGTGTCATTTGCTAATATGTTCTTATATTTGGGAATCTAAGGTGGTAAAAAATTTGTTGAATAAGTTGTTGTAATATGTAGGAAAGAGGTTGATGATGTACTTTACAAACATAAAAAATTTATAAAAAATACTCAGAAGGCTTTTAGGAATTGCCTACCATAAAAACATGTAAGTATTTTATTTAAAAAATTAGAATATAAAACAAATATGCGAAAAATCTAATTTTGGTTTTTTGTGAAGTTTTTGTAAGTTTGATGGATTTTTTTAAATTGCAGATTTTGCAAATACTCAAAAGCTTCCAGAAATTGCATATTTAAAAAAGTCCCTTGAAGTTACAAAAACACTCAAAATACCTGGAGAAATATCCACAGAACTTTATAAATTTTCCTAGTAGCCCCTTCCTAATGGTACAAATATATTGCATATTTCCATACAAAACTAAAACAAGTATGTCCACGTGCAATGCACACGCATTATACTAGTAATTAACAAATACAACATTAATGTAAGCTTGCCCCCATGTGAAAAATCGTATCACACAAGTACACACGTCTATCATATTTTTTTATTTTACTTTAGGAATCAGCCAACTCTGTTCATTGTTCTCATCATTGTAGGGCGTAGTAAGAAATACCGAGTAAAGTTGACCTGGTGCACAGGCTTATTCACGACCATCTATTCCTGCATCCTTGCATGTCCTTGTTTCCCTTATCATTGGGTTGCAATAGGGTTAATTAAGATGAGGCCGCAAGAACTTATGTGTCTTAAACATATACTAACTTTAGTCAATATTAATCTCATAAGTTTTCTAATGTATTTGATAGTCGCCGTTAATCATGGCAATTTAAATAAAGTCATTTACCATAAAAATCATATCTATGATGGGTCAGAAATATATTTTAGAATTAGAAATAGATCCGATTAAACTCTTGATAATTGTGAGAATAGAGAGAGAGATTGTTCACTTGGTCCAGCATATTTTGAAATCAAGTGTTCCATTTTTATTATAAGAGAAGCTAGATAGAAATATGATATGCATTAATCGTGTTTTTTTATAACTTTTAATATTTAACCTTGTGATTTTACTTAAGCATCTGGAATGGAAGAACCAAGTGGCATGCAAGAGCACAAACAAAGCAAAAACCAGGTGCAACATCCGTTTGGAAAATTTGAGCTTTACTAAACTTTTCAAAAATCCATGAATATCGAAAAATCATTAAACTCAACCATAGATTTAGCATCAAGATATTGGTTCTCATATTAGGGCATCTAGATATAAATATGATCTACAATAAGTTTTTATAACTTTTGCTCCCTTTTTATATGGTGATTTATCCTAGCCAATCAGAATGGAATAAAGACGTGACAAAACTACTGGTTACACGTACAAATAAAATCAAAACCAGGTGCAACATCTGTTGCGCTGCATGGAATCTGATGAGGCAGGTGGAAATGCATGGGCCAGGAATGGTAGGTAGAGTCCATGCAGTGCCAAAAAGCAATACCACTGGCAAATCTCCATAACAAGTAGCCACGCGCACCCAAAGAACATTTAATCAGACAAATATAGAGTAACTGCAAACAGCTGTATTCTAACAACCCCACAGCCATCCATATAACTTTTTCTTCAGTGAATAAAACCATTTGCAGCTTTATCAAGACAATAATTTTATCTCGTATTAACTTTTACATCAAATATTTAGTAAAAAGATACCACAAGAAAACAGCTATTCTTACAACAAATATCCAAATTGCTCCAAACCCAGGGGTATTATAGTCCATTAAAAGAATCCAAATCAATTTACAAATTGAAAGGGTTCTGTACGTAAAAAGCCAAAATCTCCCCGTAAAAAGTAGCCCAACATCTGACGGTGGTAAATTACAGAAAAATGAAGGGTCTTAAGTGAAATATTGCCAACCAGGTGAAATTACAGTTTGAGAGGGGCATTTGTTTATTCCTACCCTTTTCCATTAGCTTTGGCGGGTATATAAACGACCCAACGAAAAAACCCACAAAAAAAAATCAGAAAAAAGATCAAACCTTTGAAATCGGAGGTCGAAAGAAAGAGAAAAAGAGAGCTCCAAGCTCTCTTCTTCACTCTCCAGAGCCCTAGATTCTTTCCCTTTTGCCATGGAGTCAGATGCTGGACTCGAGGGTGATGAATTCTCTACCTTTTGAGCTCATCCCTTTGTTTTTTCCCTGTAAATTTTAGGGTTTTGAGGGCATCGAGTTCTTGATTGTGTTTACATTGCTTTACAGAGGCGATGTGGCAGCTGCAATTGGCAGCAGCTGCGACCCGCCGTTGTACCCGGAGCGGCCAGGGGAACCTGACTGTGGCTATTATCTTCGCACAGGATTGTGTGGATTTGGCGAACGATGCCGATTCAATCATCCTTGTGATCGCTCGGTATGAATCTCCGATTACCCCCCGAAAATTTGTTTAATTTGGTTTAGTTGGGGATTTTTATTTTTTTTGCAATTGGGTCCGTTGTTTCTTTTTTTGGGTGGTAATTTATGGTTATGGAGGGTTTTGTTGTGTTTTTCAGCAGGTGACTGGAGGTGGGAGGGTCAGTGGTGGGGAGTATCCGGAGCGACCTGGGCAGCCTGCTTGCCAAGTAAAGATTAGAAATTTTCACTCTTTGCAGTAGATGTTGTAGTTAGATTGTTCGGTCGTGCCTGCGTGTCAATTTCCTTTTCCTTTTTTTTTTCGGGGGTGTTATTATTATCATTATGATATGTGATAAGAGTTTCAGGGATTAGGATTTGTTGCTTCTGTTTAGATTCTTGAAGGATCACAAGGAGTGGGAAGTTACTGCATGCCATTAATTGTTGTCGATCTAGTTTGGTAGTGTTAAACCCCAGTGGTAAGTGGAAGAGCACATGAAGTCTGCTATATAAGTAGTTGGTTTATTGCAAAGACTGAAAATTTTGGGATGTTATATTGTACTGTGTCAGGGCACTTTGGACTTTCCAATTTTGTTATGATTATTCTAACACAGACTATTTGATGGTGACTTTGGTTGTAGTTCCATTATGATTATGATCATTGTGGTGTTTACTAATTACTTTCACTTTGCAGACAACTTATTCTACTTTAATAGATTCTTAGTGGTTAACAATATGGGGATAAGTTTCCATTTTGTTATGGTTACGTGGAGGTGACAGTTTGACTGTATCTGTCCGTATGTGCTTTCTAGTCATGGAAATCATAATTTGGCTACCAATTCAAAGAATTGAACTATATCAGTTGTTACTTAGATTCTTAAATTCTTAGCATAGTTGGGAATCTGATGGTGATTTTGTTATATTTTCTTTATCCACGTGAACTTAATAGCAAGTACCTGAAGCATGAAGTGACCTTATTGGGCTAGGTCGTGGATCAGGTTCGGGGTCTGGTCTGAAACCCGTCTGTGACCAACAGTTCATTCTAATTTTTTCAAGCCTGCAGTATCGGAGTTCTAGTTTCATTTTCCTATGGAGTGCACGAAGTATTCTGTGTCTTCTTTGGGGTCTAGAACATGCTTTGTGCTAGTTAGTTGATCACGACATAGAAATATTAGAATTTGATTGTGGCTAAATAGTCTGTTCAATGGGAATCCATGTTTCTGCTTCTCTTTTCTTTCAGTCACTGTAATGTTTCCTAGCCATGCCACTGGAAGTAACTCAGTTGCCAAGGAGCTATTAAAGGTCAAATATAGTCAAGTTTTTTTTATTACTTGTATGCTTATCCTTCTTCTCTAGAATTTTCTGCGTCTACTATAGAAGATTTTGTTGGCATCTATGATACTATTTGATTTTGTATTGACCAGTTCTGCCATACTTCTGAAACTTCATTTCTGCTGATGATATTCTCAGAGATACATAAAAACCAAACTTCAGAATGATTTTTGTTAATGTTTTTGCTTTATACGGCTATCTTGATCTCTTTCATACTTTTGAAGTTGTGGTGTACTCTTTGCTACTTGGATTTGTGGAGGGTTCCTTGATCTTGTATCTCTTTGTAATGTGGCTACATTCATCTATAATATATGCAGTACTTTCTCAAGACTGGTACTTGCAAGTATGGTGCCTCTTGCAAGTACGACCATCCAAGACAAGGAGTTGAATCTGCTTACCCAGTCTCGCTAAATATATATGGATATCCTCTCCGTCTGGTTTGGGCTTCCTTGTATTATTATGGATAATGCTTTAGGGCATTCTTCTATTGAAGATTACTAATTCTATTAGTGGTTCTAAATGATAGGGCGAGAAGGAATGTTCTTACTATTTGAGAACCGGGCAGTGCAAATTCGGGTCCACTTGCAAATTCCACCATCCGGAGCCAGCTGGAGTTCAAGTTCCTTCACCAGCACCTGCATTTTACCCAACAGTCCAGGCTACCACTGTCTCCGGCTGGCAAGTCGGAAGGCCTACTATGTTACCGTCTCAGTACATGCAGGCACCCTATGGTTCAATGGTTTTCTCTTCTGGTGTTGTTCCGGTTCCGGGTTGGAGTCCTTATCCGGTTAGTGTATTACATGATTTACATCCTAATTCTTGTTGTATTAGAAAGGATTAGTTACATTCTTGTATGGTGTAATTACACAGGTAAACCTAGAGTCCACGTATCTACTATGGTAACCTTGATATTACTGATTTTAATTACACTGGTGATTCTGGAGTCTGTTTATTTTTTTCCTTCTCAGGGTTACCCATCTAGATGCAATCAGTTTGCCTCAAGGTTACCTTTAGATACGCAGACTCCATGGTCACCCGAGTAGTCACATCATACTCAGGGTACCTAAATGTAATTGATCATATTATAAATTTTGAATTTAAGTTTTAAAATCATGTTGTTTTGCCTTTGAGGCAGCCAACTGTGAGCCCTGCATTGCCTCTTGGAGGACAGCAAGGTATTCAAACTGGATCGGTGTTTGGTTCCAGCAATCAGCTGTCTCCTTCAGCTCCAGCTATTCCAGGGCCTTTCGCTGCACTGTCTCCTTCCATTGGCCCTTCAAGCAGTGGCCAGAAAGAACAAGCTTTCCCTGAGAGACCGGGCCAACCAGAATGTCAATATTATATGAGGACTGGGGATTGCAAGTTTGGCGCGACCTGTAAATACCATCATCCACCAGAATGGAGAATCCCAAGGACAGACTGTGCTCTTAGCCCTGTTGGTCTCCCAGTTCGTCCGGTAACTTTCTCGCAAACAATTACTCTCTCTTGTTTGATTCCTTGATTTTAAGATAGTGTCCTAAATTGAGAGTTTTCTGTTCTCTAAGTACTTTAGGTAACTTTTTGGTTGTGGAGGGTTTTCCTTATATATAACATCATTGATTGAGTTAACTTCTTCACATTCTTTACTTTCAGTTATGAAATAGTAAAACAGTGAAAATGATACTGGTTTGTTGATTTTATTTTTAAAACCGAGAATCATCAAGAAGTAGGAATCTATTTTCTGTCTGCCTCATTTCTTTCATGTTGACATATTACTGCCGCATGTATGTTCCAGTGTCCATGACAATTCTTATTTTTGATTGAATGCCAATGTTGTTGGAATGAGTTCAGGTAGCTAGCTCAAAAATATGGGTAACATATTCCTTAGTGTTATGCTGATGTTGATAGAATGCTGGTTGGAATCAAAGTTGTTTTCATTTTATTGTATTTTTCTCTAAATTTGGTTTGTATGTGTTGATCAATGCACCTGCACCTCTACCAGTTTGAAGGAATAGTATGTGGACTATGGTGGGACTGGATCATCCTAATAATAGAGGAATATATTAATCATTACCTTCACCTTATTTTCTTTCTATGTAGGCAATTGATCGTGCACCTGTGGTTGGCAATGTATTTGTCGGTTGTTGAGGAAAAAATTGTAAAACTTTTTTAAAGAGACCTAGCGGGGACGAATGGGATAAAGGAACATCTGGTTTAACTTCAATTGAATAATAAATATAGTGTGCGGAGATTACAGATCGAGCTTAACTTTTGGTTCTATCATCTCAAACTCAGGGCACTTAGAGCTAGGAAGGATATTCTCATCTATTGGGTTAGATAATTTTGAGTGGACTAGCACTAGATCTTAATCATGAGTGTTCTTTCCGTGTAGTTATGGACCACTAATCATGAGTGGACTAGCACAAGCTCCTTACAGAATATATATGTTTCATAAATAATGAGGGTACTCCTATCTGGAATTTGTTTAAGTTAATGGTCATCTATAACTGTTTGTTGACATCAGCTGTGATCCTAGCTATTTCTGGTTGACGCATTGTGTTTAGATTGAACTGGTAATTAGAAGTCATATAATAGTGCCTGGGTCATAAGAACTTGGTTACCCCTTGATTATGCACATACTATTGTGTGAAAATGTCTGGAGTTGGCATCTATGAAATACTAACCTGGCGCCACAAATGCAATGGTAAATGTCATTGATACAACAGAAACAGACATCCAGATCTTACATATTGTAAAGGAGCTTGAATCATGTTTCAGGACATCATGGCGAAAGGAAACTGGGATATCACCTTTTCTGAAAACTAATATGTGTAATATAATCTGGAAGAACTCGCGAGGAAGTTACGCTGAGGATTATAACAAAGCCATGATTGCTGGAAGTATTTGAATATGGATGGATAACTCAATTGCCTCGCCCAGATGGTCAGATCTAATACTTAAATTAGTGTTGGGATTTATGGGGTCTCCTGTGAGTAGCAGCAAATGTATATTGAACAAATTAACTTAAGTCTTGAGTCGATAGATATTGGTTCTTAACTTTCCATTTTAGTCCATTACTCTTTCTAAATCTTGCCAATCTGGGAATATACTTGCATACAAAGTCCCAACAATATTCCCCTTCATTTGTTAGTATACCTCAATTTTACTCAAAAATTGGTTAGTCCCTGAACATGTAATTTTAGGCACTATCCATCAACCATGCATTTACCTGATCGGTTTAAACTGAAAACTAGGGCACGTCAATAAGGTTGTGAACATCCTAGGATTTTCTACCGTCTGTGGGCTAACTAGGCCTTAGGCTCTTCGACTGGGTATGAATTAGAACCAAGGAGCAGAACATCAGTACATCCTAGGATATTCCACTTCCTTGAGGCTAACTGGATCTCAGCCACTCCGGTAATAGCATTGGCCATATAGCTTCACGTTAGACTTCACTCTCCCTTGTACACAAACATAGGCTCTGATGCCACTTTGTTGGGGATTAACCAGGGTCTCCTAGGAGTTAAATAAGCCTGAAATATAGTTTGAACATTACATTACCCCAAAAACTTAAGCTCTTAGGTATTAGGGCCTATTTTCTCTTCAAGTCCATCAGTCTTTTTAATCTTTCCTATGCAGGACTAGACTACACTCACACATGAATTCTCAACAAATAAGATTGGATGTTTGCATTTGTGCTTGATGCCCTTTATTTTTATCATTTGAGTTTATTAAGGTGCGTAATTAGCTAACTAATGAACATCATGTTCCACCAGGACCACCACTGGTTGATCATCTCCTAGTAATTTCCCTCCCAAATTAGCTTAGATGTTTTAGGCAACTATTTGTGTGATTTGTTATGATGTTTTTCTGTTCAACTCTTAGACTCAATCTTTATGATTTTTTTTGTTCCCATTTTAGGAAGTTAAGCTAAATAAAAGCTATTTGAGAAAAGCAATGGTAGTAATGGTAGACTGGTAGTTATGATGTTTGGTAGATAAAAAGGTAGTTCTCTTCTCTTCCCTCCCCTTGTGAAACTGGTTGAAATAATGAGCTCCAGCATTAACATGTCTGAGAGCTATCTGCTATGTATTTTTCTTAGTTCCTGTTATTGACTTTTATCCTTTTCTGGTTATAATTATTAATACAAGTTGATATTCAATGATAATGACCAATACAGGAAGGGGTTTGATATAGAAGTACAAAAATTTCTATGATAGTGTTATATTGGCAAAAAAATTAAAAGAAACCAGGGCAGGAAGCTTGTAAGTTACTGAAACCGTCACTGACGACGTGAATGTTAGTCAAAAATGGTGAGCCACCGAAAAGCTTCAAGCCACCAAAGTTGACAAAAATGGAGACAATCCTCAAATCACCGAATTCGGTGAATGACAGGGGAGAAGAAAAAATTGTACGTGGGCCCCACCAGCGGGCCCCACCAGTATTAAAATATTAGTGCATAGTGTCTTTCCAAACACTATAAATAGGTCCCCAATCTCTTAAGGAAAACTCATCCCAGAAACAACTCCTCTTATAGAAGAACAAGAGAGAGAAAAGAGAGGCTTAGAGAAAAGTCTTTGTGAGAGAAAATTGTGAGCAATTTTCAGAGTGGGATTGAGTTGTGAGAAAAATTGAGTGTTGTAAAATTTCTCCCAAATAGTGAAAGATCTGCAGCAGCCCGTGGACGTAGGCAATTTTGTGCCGAACCACGTAAATCTTGCGTGTCCCCCAATTTTGCGCAATTTATTTTTCGCTTTCTCTCAAATCTGGCAATAGGGGAATCAGGGTAATTTCCCAACAACTGGTATCAGAGCTCTGGTTGTGATGTCTGTCAAATTTCTGCAAGGTTACTATTCACATGAATAGTACATTTCGTGAATAGTGTAATTTTGCCGGCGGTACCGACTTGTCGGCAGAGGTATCTTAATACAAGGTGGTTCGCAAAAATTGTCAGAAACGATCCAGGGGAAGTCAGATTCGAGTGGGAGCGATGGCTGCAGACGAAGGGAAGGTAAAAATTGAGAAGTTCGATGGTGCGGACTTCGGCTTTTGGAAGATGCAGATCGAAGACTATCTGTACCAGAAGAAGCTGTATCAACCTCTCTCGGGAAAGAAGCCAGATGATATGAAGGATGAAGAGTGGGCTCTCCTCGACAGACAAGCCCTTGGAGTTATCCGATTGACGCTATCCCGCAACGTTGCCTTCAACATAGCAAAGGAAAAGACCACGGCGGGTCTTATGGCGGCTCTCTGCAGCATGTACGAGAAGCCCTCTGCCTCAAACAAAGTTCACTTGATGAGGCGGCTGTTCAATTTGCGAATGACGGAAGGCGCATCGACAGCTCAACATCTCAATGAACTCAACATAGTCACAACCCAGTTGAGTTCAGTTGGGATTGAATTTGATGAAGAAGTACGAGCATTGATACTTCTTTCTTCTCTACCAGAAGGCTGGAACATTACAGTCACGGCTGTGAGTAGCTCATCGGGAAGCAACAAGTTGAAGTTCGATGATGTTCGTGATCTGGTTCTTAGTGAAGAGATCCGACGGAGAGAATCGGGTGAAGCTTCAACCTCCTCAGCTTTACACACGGAGTCTAGGGGAAGAACTTCAGAAAGAAGTTCAAATCACGGCAGATCAAAATCTAGAAGGAGCAAATCTAGATCAGGAAAGAAAGACTTCAAATGCTACAATTGTGGCAAGAAAGGTCATTTCAAGAGGGAGTGTCGGGCACCGAAGAAAAACACCGGCGCACAGGAGTCTGCCAACGTGACCGAGGAAGGAGGTGATGCTATGATTCTAAGCGTCAACAGTCCAATTGAATCATGGATTCTTGATTCAGGGGCATCTTTTCATTCCACTCCATGCCGAGAAATTATGGAGAACTACGTCAGCGGTGATTTCGGAAAGGTACATCTAGCAGATGATGAAACCTTGAAGATTGTTGAGGGTTACTGTATAACTTTCTCAGGTCATGAATGGAAGATTGCCAAAGGAGCACTCGTCATTGCTTGAGGTAAGAAAAGTGGTACTCTCTATGTAACTTCTAACCTAGAGAATATTATTGTAGTAACAGATGAAGATGAAAAATCAAACTTATGGCACTAAAGGCTTGGCCATATGAGCGAGAAATGGATGAAGACACTTCTGTCAAAAGGGAAGCTACCGGATCTGAAGAATGTAGATGTCGGCCTATGCGAGGATTGCATCTTTGGCAAACAGAAGAAAGTCAGTTTTGCAAAGATTGGCAAGACACCCAAGACAGAAAGGTTAGAATTGATTCATACCGACGTATGGGGACCATCTCCAGTTTCATCTCTTGCAGGCTCACTGTACTATGTCACCTTCATTGATGATTCTACAAGGAAGGTGTGGGTTTATTTTCTAAAGAAGAAATCAGAAGTCTTTGATACCTTCAGAAAATGGAAGGCCATGGTGGAAAATGAAACTGGTTTGAAGATAAAGAAGTTGAGGTC